CAGAGGGGCCGGTCAGTGCGTGGAGCGATCAGCGCTCAGAGGGGCCGGTCAGTGCGTGGAGCGATCAGCGCTCAGAGGGGCCAGTCAGTGCGTGGAGCGATCAGCGCTCAGAGGGGCCGGTCAGTGCGTGGAGCGATCAGCGCTCAGAGGGGCCAGTCAGTGCGTGGAGCGATCAGCGCTCAGAGGGGCCGGTCAGTGCGTGGAGCGATCAGCGCGCAGAGGGGCCGATCAGCGGCTACCCGAATAAGCATGGGCTGTCGGCGCATGGAGCGATCAGCGCTCAGAGGGGCCGCCTGGGCCGCGATGGTGGCCTAAACGACGGACAGGTAGTCAAGTGCGCCGGTGATATCTTACCGGTGATGGCGTATCCTAAGGCGGCGTGCTCCATCGTTGCACAGGCAGATACTGCACAGAAGGGAACTGCTTAACGCGGCACTTCGCTCTCCAATCTCCTCTCGCTGGTAGACTCTTCTGCGCGACGTCAAGCGCGAGACACACGCCCATGGAGACGGCGAGCTCTCGCCACGCACGACGCCCATCTGAGAGGTATTTACCGGGGATAACTGACCTGCACTGCTTAGGAGCACGTCACGTCTCGGCCTCCGGCAGTGTACCCCATGGGCGAGGCGGCTACAGAGGCCAGAGAGACGGAGACAAACACTTATGACACTGCAGGGTGCCGCCATATACATGGCCAGAGGGTACGTCACCGGTGCCGATGTAGATCGCAGGAACGTAGCGGCGTGCTTATCCCACGGAGGCAGACACTACAAAAAATCGAACCCGACGGACGCTCCTTTCGGCGCGCGGGAGCGCGCCTCCGCCGCGCGCGCCGAGCGCCCACGCACTGGGGAAGCGTCTCCCGTCCCCTCCCGTCCCGTCCGAGAGGGCCGCGCCGCCGGCGGGGCCGCCCCGGGCGGCGGCGCGGCTATTCGGAGGACCGTCTCGCCGCTGTCCGGCGCTAGCCCGTTAACGAACATATGTGTGCCGTGTCAACCGCTTCCCTGTCATGCTCGTAGACGTCGACCTACATGAGAAGTGCATCATATCAGTGTTATGGTAGACATGTCAAACAATCCTGGAGATGATCGTGTTGACAATCAAACATGTCAATCAGACTTGGACGGTCAGCAGAGCACGAATGTATTTTGCGGTGAAGTAAATCAAAATTATGCTCCGTTTAGTACAAAGAGTTAAGACTTGTCGGATGTCTGAAGATGTGAAAACATGGACCAATCATGTAATCGGACAATAAATGGAAGAGTAGTTTAAGTTTGTTTCCCCCCTTAAACATGAATGCAACCTGGAATGCATATTGCATAATGAATAAATGACCGTGTCTGAATTAGCCTAATGTCATAAATTACATGCGGCCCATATTGACGGTGCCTGCGGAAGTGGTAAATCAGCGGTACAATCATGCTCATGAGCACTCGCCAGCCCGCTCATGAAGCCACCTCCGGTCCGGCCCCTGACTACAAGGGTCCTGTTGACCTTTGAGCGGCTGGACCTGACAGGACGGTCACGTACCCAGTGGTCGATACTGGCCGGAGGCGGAACGACGACGGGCGTCATACTGGAGCTCTTATAGGATGTCTTTCCTGAATCCATCCTCTCATCGTGCAGTTGGCTTACATGCTCATTGCTCATTCGCAAGAAGCTCTCAGAGACGGAGTATTCGTCTCTTTTGGTCAGCTTTTAGAAGCACGCATCGGTCGAAACAACTAAACACAGAAGCTAAACAACGGTATAGTGGGAAGGTATTGACAAAATGGTTTAAAAAATTTACTGCCACAATATACCATCTTAACTAAAACCGTTCTGCAGCCTGACGTGAACTTAACTACGTCTGACCTCATAATTCACGACTGTAAAGAAGATCGGTTTGCGGGATGGCCTTTGGCAGAGAATCGCCCAGTTTTAGATGGAAACTAGAACCATTTTCTCACAGAGTCCACTCTCCCACGAGAAACATCAAGTAACTCGGGCTGACGTAGCTTGGTGCGGAGAGAGAGAAAAACAGCGCGGCGGGGTCAGTTTGGTCCGGCCGGGCCGACACTTCAGACGGCCTCGGAATACTGCGCTGACCAACACAAGGTCAGCTCTAGCAGTGCGTGGCTTTGTAAATGTAAAATGGAGGAACAGAAAAACCATACAGGAGCGGGAAAACTTTGCGTGCGATATCCATTCATATGTTCCGCAATTATTTTGATTCGGAAAACAGAGACATTTTGTGAAGCCCGTTCAATTTTTGTCAACCAATTTTTGCCTTCTTTTGTTATGTGTCGTTAAATGACGTATGTCGTAAATGATAAATGTCGTAAAATGAAGTCAAAGAGCCGCACACTTTCACAGTAATCATTGAGAACTGAGCACGCGCACTCAGCTTCAATTGTCGTAGCACATCTGTTCGACCCTGGCTGTTATGGCCCCACACGACTTTTACGAGCTCCCATGGCTCCGGAGATAGATTGAACGGGATTGGTATTACAAGGAGCTGGCGTCGCGAGCGGCAGTCGTTATATATGTCACCAGTAGACACTCGCCGTCCTATCCATACTAGATATGTTCCAGAAGTGAGGCTAGCTTTTTGACAGAATGAAGGTAACGTGCCCAATGAAGGACCTTTATCAATTTTCAAGAAGTAAAGTCAGCAGACAAGACATGTGAATCCAATACTTCAACTAACGAGGCCGATTTGTTGTAATTTTGCTCTTGATAAACAGGCCTTGCTACAAATGCAGACATGCAGTGACGAAAAGAACACTTAGCCCGAGCCGCCGTTGGTTTGTTTGCCAGAAAAGGCATTGTGTCAAACTTTGGAGTGAATCCTAGACGATGCTCAAGCTATGTTTAATTAAGCATCTTGTAAAACACTTCAACTTGGTTTAACAATATCAAGTGAGCGAAGTAGTAAGCTGCTCAGTGCTGAGTGCGATATATTTTCCGTTAATTAGTTGTTCACAGAAGAGATGCGAAATGTTTTGATTAACACTAGTCCAAGCTTTCTATGCGGGCAAAATTACGAGAAACTCGGCGTGTCTAAAGTCTAAGCATCCCAGCATTCATAAATAGGCTAGGAACCAGTGAGGAGGGCCGAGGAAGCCATGGCGTAATCATTTTGGCAGATAAAATATTTACCATTATATCAATGCTTAAATTTGTCAATCAAACAGCTTGAGGCTCGGGCTTGACAAGATTTAGCACACTGTCGGAGACTGGCACTTACGTGTTCAGCACTCACAGTGAATCATAGGAAATTAGCGTCACAGCTTTTCGGTCTTGGAGACTAACTTCAAAAGTACATAGAAGGCATTTGCATTGGTCGGATGAAGTTTCATCGTCAATATAAATTCAGTTCAGTGGATTATAATAAAACGACAATATAATGACAATAAAGGCTTGTCCAATAAAAGCTCAACGTAAAATTGACTGAGCCCTTTGTGATCTTGTGTATTATGCTATTTTTTTAGATTCATGTTACTGGACATCGCTCCACGAGGCATACAACTGAACTTCCCTCTGATATTGGCCTAATGACACTGTTTACTTTGTCCGTTGTTCAAAGGTCATAACTCACAATACTGCTTAAACGTTTGTCTCACCAACCATTTTAGAAGTCGTAAATTGCTGGGATCAGGCAATTTCTTGCAGGAAATGGTTTCCATAAATTGGCTTCTGAAGATAATATACAGTCGGCATAAATAGTTTACCGGAATAAACAAGAAACTCAACAGAGGTGGGTGAACGAACGGGCAAGGACGCTCAAGGGAAGCGCTGCTATTTGCGTAACGTTATCTTGCTTGCATAGGCGCAATTATGAGCAAAAAGTCGAATGAAACCCCACAAAACATCATCAACGATGTAATGCACCTTTTCACCTGATGACCTTTGAAATGCGCCCAACAGCGGGCATCTCATGATACTTTTGTCTGACGGCAGTGAGCAGCTGTGTGACAATTTGGCCGGAAATCCAATGTCGATAGTGGATTCGGTTGGTTTCAGAAAGGAAAGGGGAGAGCATTTTTAAGATCTCTCGCCATGCTTGGTTTGATATTGATGGGGGCAAGCGTGGGTTGCCGCGGATGTTTCACAGTGGGTAGTAATGCTGACTGCAGCGAGTATCGGCAAGATTTAAAACAGCTATATCTTTTTCCTCCGGAGACAGATTTAGGAACCATCAGAACCATCCGGAATAGTCATATAACGTAGATAGAAAAAAGCAATAAGCTGATTCCCAGTGGTGTCATCAAGATATTTAAAGCACGCTAGAACCAGACATTCCAGCAAATACGTAATGCATTCGTTTGTAGTCTTAACCGATTGCTTCCGCCGATTTTCAGCCAAGCCCACCGACATTCTTCGCTAAATGAAAACGTTTACTATCGATTTAACATCAAACGTGCTTTGTATGTACCAAGAATGTAGTGGCATTGAGCAGCGACTCCGAATGATAAAAAGGATTTGGAAAGTTTCGTTGAATATGGAACATTGTCGTGGCAATAGTAGCATACAGTGACAGCACGAACTATGAGCTATAGACTTCGCTTCCTTTCAGCCATTTCCAACGAAAAAAGAAATGAAGAAGAAAAGTTGTCTTAAACACTAACAGCATAAACATTCACTTATAATGAAAAACGTTTCTCTGGGGGTAATGGTTCACTCCGTTATCGCTTGGATTTGTGAGGGGATTAGATCTGTTCGTGTAGAACCTCTTGCTGGCAAATGTAGATAATGTTAGATCTGTCATTTCATTATGAAAAGCAGCGCATAATGCTCTTTGAGTTATATAGGAACATACTTTAAAAGCCCAAAAGAACATTTAAGCATACGTTTATCCAGCTTCCACCATCCATTCTCTCTTCACAGAAAAAAATACCATCGATCATATGTTAAAAAAGACAACAAATCTCTCTTGACTCATCTTCCTTTTGCTATCCCTCCATTTCTCCTCCCTCTCTCTCCCTCCCTCTCTCCATCCCCTCTTCCCTGATTCTCACCTTCCCTGGCTCCGCCGTCTCCGGACCGAGTCGCCTAAATCGCGTCACTGTACGCCGCGGCACACCCGACACCGTCACACCGCCGCGCGTCGTCCCCGTCTGCCGTTCGTCGACAACGACGACCGTTCGTCGGTGCCGACGAAGCAGCGCGGACCGCCGGCGGTTCCGGCCACGCCGCCCCGGGATTCAGACAGAGGCGGTCGGTGGCAAGGCGCCGCGCTGGGGCGTTACGGTAAAAATGCACGGAGAGCGTAAAGGAATGGGTGATCTGCGCAAGGCTGTGAATTGTTGATTGGGAGGGGTGTGGTTTTAGTTTTAGCTGTTCACTTCTAGCAGTGCTGGGCGTGCATAGTTGCATAGGATGTGGATGATTCATTCTATTGAAAACAATGCTCAGTAATTGCAAAGGAAGAGTTAGAGGAGAAGAAAGAGAGGAGAGAGAGAGAGAGAGAGAGAGAGAGAGAGAGAGAGAGAGAGAGAGAGAGAGAGAGAGAGGAGAGAGAGAGAGAGAGAGAGAGAGAGAGAGAGAGAGAGAGAGATGAAACGTCTGACTCACGTCATATGGCGTCGCTGATGAGATCTGCTGTTTGAGCTGCTCTCGCTCTGCAGGCGCCGGGATGTGCTTAGCCGGAGAAGGTAGGCCAGTTACGGGGCGACACGGTAGACGAGCTAATTATGAGACAGAGGCTCAGACTGCAGAGATATATCAGAGAGCATGGGCGGAGAGACACTTGAAGATCAGAGAAGTAGAGTGGATGGGATATGATGGAGGACAATGGTTATGTGGTAACCTACCGTTCGCCGCGCCTGTGCCCCTTTCAAGGGGATTGAAATGGCAAGATAGCACTTACCAGTAAAACCATAGGCATGTTGAGCAATTAATGCGTAGTTAATGTGCTTAAATAATTATTCAAATATAAGAGCTCACGATTAAAAATTTGTTGTTGTGGATCATTACTTGCCAGGATTCTGCAATAAGTTTAACATGTATTTACGTTTTCTCCTCATCAATATAATATTTTACAAGATTTTCTCTTGCTTAAAAGTTAAGGGTCAATTATGTTGAAAGCACTGCTGTTTTTTATATCTTACAGGAATCGAGCAAACATCTTGTGTGTTAGTTTTGCCATAAACACAAAGGTCAGCTCCATGTCATAGCACCACATGGGCACCACCTTTAAAGTTCGAAGCTGTTTTAGAGCTCACTAAGCTCAGTGTTAGCTTGATTGAATCCGGCATCGTGTTCAGCCAACGCATCAGCAAACTGCAACCGGGAAAGTCGCTAAAGTCAATTATTGACATTTGAAGCTTTTATCATCTAGCTGATAAAAAGACCTCAAACACTCAGGTTGATAATTCGTCGGCAGAGGTGACCTATTTACAGGAAAGAAAATGCATGCGACGAGGTGAATGCATATAGCATCCAACAGAAGGACAATCAGCGCCTCAACGCTTTATTTTTCTCGCTTACGTGAACATAGCTGCTGTGCTGTGTGCAACTACTGCGCCTCCTGATTTGTAACGAAGCCTTTTAGTTTCCAAAGAAATGATCTCATTCCAACGTTTTTACACCACAGGGCAATTTACAAAAGTGGCTTGTTGTGTCTGAACACGGCCAAGACATCATAAAACAACAATATAGGTTTAATTTTATTAGAAAATTACATGATTTCCGCGACTGCCGCCCGTCACCGCAGGCGGCGAAGGCCAGGACAGTGCGGACAGGGTTTACGGGGCAGCTTATCACGAGTTGCACCATTTGCTGAAGGGCGTCGCCGGTCCGCGTCCATTTGTCGTGCTGCCCGGGCCTCATTTGTTCCATGGCAGCCGGGCCCCGGGTCGCGGCCATTTGTTCGCGTCGGCCGTCCGTTTCTGCGCGCCGCCGCGGTCAGCTCGACTCGGCCCCGGCCCTGTTTTGGCCGCGTCGGCGCCGACAGGAGCCGGGCCGCCGTGACCGGGGGTCGTCAGCGGAGCCGCCCCCGCCCCCGCCCCCGCCCAGCCGCCCCCGCCCGGCCGCCCCCGCTGTCGCCGTCATGGGCTCTCACATGGATCGCCACGCCTGACCTCCGACTGGGCGACATATTGTTCGGATGTCACGCCGCTCGCCGCGGGGCCTCCCCCTGAGCCTCGCCACTCGCCGGAAACCGAGTACGCCCGGAGTAGCAGCATCCCTGCACCGTCGGCCGTGTTGCCGCAGATTGCCAGCTATTCTGAGGCGCGCGGCGGGACCCGTTCGAGACGGAATGCTCCCAAGTGCGCGGCTGATGTAGTTTGCTGCGTGACGTGATTTTCTGAGTTCTGCCGTGCATTTTGGGGTAAAGAAGGTGACTGGTGATAACACTTGTGAGACAACACAGTTCAACGTTGTGTTGGTATGTTGACTAGCTAATTACCGATGGACCGGTGATATTCAGATTGTCCGTTCCGGAGTATCTGCGCCTTGCTTTCATTCGTAAAATGCCTGTGGCATCTGTAAGCCACCTGACTCGCCAGCCCACCAGTAAATGCCCCCGCAGCAGTCTGGTGCCGGTTCACCGCCTGTGAAGCGCCCGGGGCTGTCTGGCGGCGGCAGCTCCCCACCCCTCCGCCGCCGCCGGCGCGACCGCTGATCGATGCGCCCCGTTGTCGCGCTGTCCGAACTGTCCGAGCGGTCAGCTGGGGCGTTCGAGCACCAAACCAGCTGTCAGCGCGACCAGCTTCGGTGTCGGTATCTCCGGCCAGTGAAGCGATGTCAATATCAGAGGAAATTTCACAGCACTGCTAAATTACTGATGGTATTTCCCAGGCGGCCAGCAGAATCCCTAATTCAAGCGAAGGTCGTTGATGGTATGTCAATGTCAACAGGGGTTTCACCAAATTCGGAGTGTACCCCGCGGGACTACCACAAGGTCTTTGTTCTTAGTTCTTTTTAATGTTTTTAATAGATATCTATAGCTATTCGTAAGTACTAAGTAAACATTTTCAAATCGCTGGTGCTTTTCATTTATCAGAATTTCATCGAAATCTCGTTTTGTATCGGGTATCAGCATGTTATTTTTTTTTGCCAAGCTGGCCATTTCAGGCAACACTATGACTTTTTGGTCTGCGCGGGGTAGTCGGCTGATTCGTGCGTAGGTATGCACTTTTGTTTCGCTGTTTGCCTTCAGCAGAAAGCGATAACCGGGCCACCACCATTACGGGCACGGCGCGCGGAGGCCGCTGCGGAGTGCGCTCGCAGCTGTAATCGACAGATCTGTTTGTGACTCAGAGGCGCGGTGTAAGTGACGGTCGCCGCCAAAGGTGATAGTTGAGCAGTGTCCAGCCGCCACTCCAACTGTGCAGGTGAGCCGAGCCGCCGCTCCGAGTTCCGGGAAGTGAAGAATCCGTGATTGGAGTGGCTGGACGGATGGACGGCGATCGAAGCAGCCCGCGTGGCAGCCCGTGTTTTATGTGGCATAAACCGTAATGCAGCTGGACGATTTGTCAGACGCCTGGATTTCAGGGAGCGGTGGGCCTCCGACGGTTGTCCGAGGTCGGTAGGCACAGGTTTGGTGAGTGACTGAAGGCGCACAAAGACAGGAAAAGACAAACATGATCCCATTCATTCAACTTCGATAGTCAAGTCCGATCGACTTTGAACAATGTTGACTTAACAGCAATATTCAAATAGAGTTTGCAGAAACAAAGCAATGTAATGTAACGTTGTTTGCGAGTTCAAAGAGGATATTCAAACTCATTATTATGCTATAGAATTAATTAATGAAAAACTCATAGCAGCTGTATTGCCGATTTTGTATATGTCTCCGAGGTCACTTTTGGGTCTAGGGCGGACACCCGCTTGGTTCACGGCATCCCTTGAAGTTCAACACATTGTTTTTCAGCAACTTCTAGCTCAATAGGCGGCAAAGTGGTGAAGTCGTCCTATAAAGTTTCTTGTTTCGCATTATTTATGTGTTGGGAACACAAGCTGCAAGAATTTATAACAGCAATGTATGCCGGATATTACAACGGATATGAATTGCCATCAATTGATTGCTACAAGGAGACGAGAAAAAAAAATAGCAAAATTAAGCAGAGATCGCGGTAGACCTAGTATATCTACAAGCCTACTCAGGAATTTTAGGTGATATGCGAGTGAAAACAACCCAACTGGTTATTTGCACCGCAAACCCTAGCTCCATATTGCAATATTCAGCTGTAAATAATTCATTGTATTGAGAGCACTCTCGGTACCCACTATAAGCGGCTCTCACGGCACTCGGTCTTCTCCACTGGCAGCGCATCCAACCCGGGAAGCGTTTCACCGCCTCTTGGTTCATTCAGAACCGTCGCGTCCCCGCGGGAGGTGCGACGGCCGAGACCTTGGGCCGCGGAACTCGCTACTCGTGAGCCGCTCTCTCCATCGATTTCGACGCCACAAGCCGGCGAGTCGTTTGTAGCCGCTATTAGCGTTGAGGCGGGTACCGGTCGGAGCGAGGCACCGCCGCCCAGTCGAGGCTCCTTCCCGACCATCCACCCTCGCGGCCCAACTTGACCGACTTCCGCCCGACCCCGCTCCCAACAGTCGAGCTTTCTATCGTCCCTACTTAGCCGGGTGGCTGAGGGAGCGACTCCCGCTGCTGAGGGAGCGACTCCCGCTGCTGAGGGGGCGACTCCCGCTGCTGAGGGGGCATCTGTCGACTGACTGGCCCGCCCGTCTGACCCGGCAATGAGCGCGCCACCATAATGACGTCGACAGGTCCAACTGGCGGACAAAGTGGACCATTCACAAAGGGCACGAGCGCGATTGGGTCGCGTCCAGCTCGACCGAGATCGTAAGTTCAACTGGTTTGTCTGCAACGGTCTCTCTCTCTCTCTCTCTCTCTCTCTCTCTCTCTCTCTCTCTCTCTCTCTCTCTCTCTCTCTCTCTCTCTCTCTCTCTCTCTCTCTCTCTCTCTCTCTCTCTCTCTCCCTCTCTCTCTCTCCCTCTCTCTCTCTCTCTTCCTCTCTCTTTCTCTCTCTCTCTCTCTCTCTCTCTCTCTCTCTCTCTCTCTCTCTCTCTCTCTCTCTCTCTCTCTCTCTCTCTCTCTCTCTCTCTCTCTCTCAGCCTCTCTTTCTAGAGCATCTTTCTTAAGCGTTTATTTCCCTATTTTATTTGCTATTTCCCCTTTGACTTCTTTCACAGGCGTGTGATTGGGTGAGCTCGTGTGAGCTCGTTTTGTAAATATTTGCAGAGAAAATACTGAATAAAACATCACGTTCCGGTATTCGTTGGACGTGCACAAACCGTGAAAAGGAAATAAAGTGAATGGGATAAAAGC